GCCGGTTCGATCCCCACATAGGCCACCGAGTTGTGCCCTCCACAACTAGATTGAAAGAACTACTTGACTTGGAGCTGATGGGTCCTGAAAAATCACACTGTTCCCCAAATAAAAAAAAAAAACAAAACAATGCCTAGGTTGAGAATCCCTGCACCTGAGGAAACTCTTAACAAATGGAAATATTACCTCCCTCTTTAATTGTATTTATTTTTTCAACTAATGACCACAGTCTTTTAAGTTTATCTCCAATCTCATCTATCTTATATTCTCTGGCAAAATTTCATCCTGTGCAACTAGCTAACATGTTTGTGAGTTATTCTTCTCATCAGATGGGCTGAACCAGGAAACCCACAAACTTCCCCACTACAAAGAACTAAATTCCAAGTACATTTGGTCTATTCCATTCTGGCAGCTGTTAATGATTTAGTAGCCTCAAGTTCCCAAAGACACCAAATATATCTTCTAAAACCATATGGTATTCTCAATAACTTTGGCTCAACTGGAAGATAAATAGAATGAACTTCGAATTCTAAAACTCATTCTCAACCTTTCATAGAACATATTAACAAGTAATTTAATGTATATAAAACAAGTTTCCTTATTTCCACATTCAAAACGTTTTTTTCATCTGGATTTGTGGCAAAGCAAAATATAAGGAATTGAAAGCGGGATAAGAGTACTGATCTCAATTTATGTTAGTAGTTCAGATTCTGAGTTTCAAAATCAAAAAATAAGAATGTATTGCCCCCCCCTTTCTACTCAACTCCCTAAAAATATTGACCTAATATTCCAGAAAAACATATTCCACCTAGTAATATTTGGTTGTGAACACCTATAATGAATTTGGGATCATTATGAGGTCTGTATTTCCCCAAATCTATTGATTTACACAAAAAAAATGTAGTCAATTTAAATAATAGAAAATGGAAATGACTTTGTCAGATCTTCAAGAGGAAATCCTGACTAGTAAATAATCTCAGTGGGCCTTTTCTTCCATGATAGCTGCTTAAAGAAACAGAGAAGCATCTGGTCAGTCTATTACCATAATCTTATGGTGCTAAATTAGAGGGTGCCTCAGGAGGGTTTTATCCTTGAATCTACTCAGCGAGCCATGTTCCAGCACTCTAAGTGCCTTCCTTGTGTTCTTCATCTCGGTCTCAATTTACCTGTTTTAGACTGAGATGAATTTGATGATTTTACTTTAAATTTATTCCAACTCAAAACTGTTCTCCCTTAGCCAGATCTTTTACAAATTTAATGCAGGCATTATAAAAATGCAAAATATTAACAAGATGTTAATATCTCCCTGAGTACATCATTAGTTTCCTGAAATTTAAAGAATTTTTACCACTTCCTTAAGCGTTAAAAAAACAAGATATTCTTTTAAATTAACACGTGGGTAAGGATTCCTCCACATGAATGTGTCGTGGAGACAGGGTACACACTGAGAGCACTGGCGCTTGAAAGCGTGTTTGCATGTCCCACATGTGGAATGGAGCTATCTGCATTCCCCTCACCAGCATAGTTTCCCCACTCCCAACCCCGCTCACCCACTTAGGAAAGTCTCCCCCTTCAACAGCTGGGCAGCTTTGTTGGAGGTCACTTGCCCAGCCAATCACATCAGCACCCAAAACCCAAAGGTCAATCCAAAGTCATAGGGTAATATACTGTCAATCATATCATTTAATTCAGTGGCGTTTATAGAAAAGCCTCAGAGTCCAATTAAAAAAAAAAGAACAATCACACAAAAAAATCCTAAGAAAAGAAAATGTCTGCACTTTCGATGAAATCTAAAATTAAAAAACTCACTTTAATTTTTTTCTTATTATAATTTCCAAAATTATATGCCATCTCTATGAGCATATAACATCTTGTTTGAAGAAACAAAGTTATTGACACAACAAGCTCACACATAGAACTTCAAACAGAAAGAAGAAAAAAAGAAAAAGAAATCACAAAATAGCTCTTTACATTTGAAGCGCTTGGCTAACCACTGATCCCGCAGCTAAAACTGGATTAAACTAGTTCAGTGGAAGTTGGCGTCAGCATTGGGACCACAACGGATGGTCCCCATATGCAAGAATGTTACTCTCTGAACACAATTTTGGCAAGTTTACCAATGTCTTGTATCTTACCAAGTCCAATAATCAAGGTTGGGTCCTTATTTTCCACACCTTTCAGCCGCTTCTCACACAGTTCATCATCTCCTTATTGAAACACTCCATCAGACATTGTTTCAGACACCACACTGACTCGCTTTCTCTTCCTTCACCCCACTGACTCCCCTCAGTTTCCTTCACTGGCTCTGAGCTCTCCTCCCCGTCTCTGAACACTCTAGCACCCGAGAGCTCAGTCTTTGGGCTACTTTTCTTTTCAATCCACACTCATTTCCTGCAGTGGCCATTGTCCATTGTGGACAACTCTAATAAACTTGACTTGCATTTTATCTTAACCATCAGACCATTCTTTCTGTAGCTCAGAAGAACACCCCTCATCTTTTATCTGCTTGCAATATTCCTATAATCCCCGTGTTCTCGCTGTACTTGTTTGGGTTCCATATTTTCCTTATCCTCCTCCATGTTTTGCTGGATTGCAGAGTCAAGTTTATAATCATGAGATAAAAACTAAACAACAACAAAAGAACAAGATATTTCATAACACTCATCAAACACTCATTGAGGAATGTTTTTATTCCTAAAACACAATCTATTAGTCAAGCTATATTATNGATGATGGGTCAATATGAACATCAGAAAGAATAAGGTCAGCAATGTATGAAAACAGATCAAATATATTAAAATACAAGAATTTATAATCAAACTAGGAAAAACTTATCAGTACTCTTTGGACATGGTAAATGCACCAATTCATATTTCTAAAATCTGATAAAATAAAAAGAAACAATCCAGTATTATCCTGCCTTTCCTGCGTGAATTATATTTCAGAGTAATCAAAGAGTTGATGAGAGAATATTCTTCCTAGTTGAAGACTCCAGATAATAATTGCAAAAGGAATAATAGAACTCAAAACTCACTATATCATGACCCCTAGTGAAATAATGGTGTGTGTCTGGTGATGCAATAAAAAGCACACAGCACCACCTAAATGAACCAAAACTAATCAGGTCTCTTACTCAAAATGCCAGTTTATAGGACATATGATAAAAGAACACATTAAATGAATTCCAAGGATGTAATCAGCCACATTCAGAATGTAGAAAATTTACAGTGCACATGGACCTGATTTCTTTCAAAAGTAAATATCCTAGGAGATAAGGTAAGGGGAAGTGGGGCTGACTGAAACCTAAGGAAGAAAGCAATCAAGTCAATTTGTGGAATTATGATTTGGATCTTGATTCAAACAAGCCAACTGTTAAAAGATATTTTTAGATAACCCAGAATTTTTTTTAATGGAATGGATATTAGATATTACTAACTATTATTAATTTATTATAGTCATGTTTTTAAAACTTCATAATCTGTTAGAGATATCACTGAACTATTTATGAATGAAATGATATAACGTCTGGTAATTTCTTCAAAATTCTCCAGCAAAGAAAAAGAGGTACAATTTATGAAACAATACTGGCCGACAGCTGACTGACAACCATTGGTACTTTCCAGTGTGTACACAGGGTTCACTTTTAAATCTGTTTAAAATTTCATACATGAAGACTTACCCCATCCCTAGCTTTCACCAAGAGATCATAGGTGGCTGGGTCCTGTTCCCTGTCGATATCTTGAGAAACACAGATTCGCCCATCATGTGGGTCTATCTGGAAGGCTTGAGGTGCTTTATAGCTTTGGAATCCATCATAAAGAGAATACTCGACCAAGCCATACAGTCCTGCATCCGCGTCGGAGGCTTTTACCTATGAGACAGGAGGTTGACCAGTGAGGAAATAGAAATGCTAGCATCACTTTTCAGTTGGTCGTGAATCATTCTCATGACTTGCACAACCAAGTAACCCCCATAGCTATTCACAAAAAATGTAGGCTTTGGTTTTATGTCTCTTTTCTCTTACCTTCTGTGACCACTCCCCCCCCCACTTTCCTCCTCCCTCTGTGAGTTCTCCTTTTCAGCCTCCTTTGCCCATTCCTGTACTTTCAGGGAATCTCTGAAAATGTGAGTTACTTGGGGCTCAACCCCAAGTTGAGCAGTCCTTTTGCCTTCTTATTCCTCTCACTATATCTAAGTAATCTCATCCAGTCTCAAGGGTTCAAAAACATCCACATACACTAACAACTTGACAATGTATCTGTGGATCCCCTCTCATACCTAAGCCCTTCAAGTGATGGGTTCAATGCCCCACCTTCACCGTTTCAGAATAGCAAGGGAAGGGCAGAGAAGCCAAGGCAGGAAGTGGCATAATTCCTATCAATCCAATTCAACTGACAGAAGTTACCCTGGAGTATGAGGTTTCAATTTCCCAAGCCAGGTTTCCTTCCAGGAGTGCCCCCACGAGGGTCTTGCACAGTCGTGCACAGTGAGCACTGCACAGAGGCCCCTAGCCCAGGGGATGCATGAGGAATTATAGGCAGCCCAGGCCACACTTGCCAAAACACGCATGCTGACCTGGAGCAGTAACTGTCCAGAGGAAAGGGCGCCTTTCTCTTTGACCATAAAGGCCATTTATGTTAGCAGTGGTCATGTGCCTGGTAGAAACGATGAAGCAACTCGAATTATGAAAGCACTTAACTTATTTATATTAACTGTAGGAGTATTTAGTGAGAAATACAACAGGCTATATAGAACTCAAAATATTTTTAGCTCAGAGACTCAGTAAAATGCTTTTGATTTGCAACCCAATTAATAGTAACAGCAAAAGTCTAAATAGCACTTACAGCAAAAGCACTTTAAAGGAAGATCAACCAAAAAAAAAAAAAAGGAAGAAAGGAAGAAAAAAAACCTGTATGCCATAGAACAGGCACTATCCTAATTGCTTAACATACATTACATAACTATAACCTACGATGAATTCCATTTCACATATCAGAAAAGTCAGGCTCAGAGAGTTTAAGTAACTTGCCAAAAACCACATAGATAATAAGGTCAAAGCTGAGATTCAAATCTAGGCAGTTGGGTAGCAGAGGAATGCTCTTAATGATCACACTAACCTGCCTCCCAAGTCTTATCCCTTCTTAGTTCATCTTTTATGTACTGAAAAAGCATCCCACCCAAATCTCCTGAACTTCCTCCAGTACAGAACTTGTTAGATTGTGTGTAACACCTTTCCGAGTAACTGTTTACTTCAAGTGCATGTAGCTTTCTCACCAGAAGATCATTAACATGAAACAACTGGCAGTAAAGCCTGTGCTCTTGGATCTTAGATAAACCTTCTATTCCATGTGGTCAAATTCCAACTGGGTTCCAAAATGTAGAAACATAGATAAAGTGATGACAATTGGAAATAAAAGAAAATTAAGCAGATCTGTTCAGAGAGTCCAACATCCAACTACTAGACATCTCATAAAAAGAAAATTAGAGAACAGATAAAATGAAAGAAAGGAGCAGTTATTTCTTTGGTTCATAGAACACATACNATGATGACACCAGAGAGGAAAGCAGAGAGGAGGAGGAAGAAGACACCGCGTGTGGGTGGTGCCTGATTAGAGTGTGAGGAATATCTGCCCAGGACAGAGTGGCACTGAGTGAGCCTGCATGAATGACCACGGGGGGGGGCCTGACACAAAGGAGAAGCTAGTGCTGAAAGTAACCCATGCCATGCCAAAAACATTTTTGGATGACTTAAGATGCTACATTAGGACAACAGTTAAATTCAGTAGTGAATTCCCTCAGTATCACTGGGTGCGATTTCCAGTAAATTGAAGTGAAACAAGGTAGCTGCAAAGGTTTTCATAGCCTTAGGTGTACCAGGAGTTCTGGTGAGCCTTAGGCCTCCCTCTCCAGGGGACTGTGCACCCGAGAAGTGCATTGGCCATGTGTGCTCTTTTCTGGATTCTGATGCTTTGACATCTGGAACATTCCTGATCCTGCAGGACTGCCCAGGATCATGTGAGCTTTTCAAGTGCAAATCAACCAATCTGGAGCCCACACCCCCAAACCCCTCCTTTGTGGGCTCTGGCACTCCAAGCCACTATTCACCTACCCCAATCACACCCCTGGCCAGGTATCAGATAACCAGAGACAGACAGTCTCTGTGCTCCAGTCTGCTGAGACTATTCAAACTAGCCAGCCTTAAGCCTGCTTACTCTGCCTCTCCCATGCCTTCCCCTGGAAACCATCACAAAGGCCCATGCCTGAAGTTTTCCCTCTCTCCCTTGTCTCCTGACCAACCCCAATGTGCACACAGCCCCTCTCGTGGTGTGGCGTGCCTTTCTCTGGGGACCTGTGAGTATAACAAACTGTTTTCATGATGGCAGTTGTTGCCTTATCCATACCTAACACCAATAAAACCTATATGAAAAAAGACAGGGTGCAGACCAGCTCCATCCATGCCAGGGTAATGCTTAGAATGAGAGCACCCAAACAGGAGGATGAGACTTGGAATATGAAGTACCCACAAGAAGGGTGTCTCTGTCCTGAGGAAACCAGAATATGTTATGTGTTGTGGGAGGATTTGCCTTCTATGAAACAAGGAGATTTTACAGAAGAATATTCTGATTCACATACATCGTTGTCTTAGTTCATTCAGGCTACAATAGCAAAATGCCATAGACTGGGAGGTTTATCAACAACAGAAACTTATTTCTCGCAGTTGTGGCTGTGCCCTCAGATGGCATAGAGGTAAAGCTCTCTGGGGCCTCTTTTATAAGAGCACTAAGGTCATTCTTGAGGGCTCCACCCTCAGGACCTAATTGCCTCCCAAAGGCCCCACTTCCTAACACCATCACCTTGGGGATCAGGTTTTTAACATATGAATTTGGGGGAACACAAATATTCAGACCAGGCAGTCATCACCTTAGAAACTGATTCTTTGATTTCTAAAAATTATCAAAATCTGCTACACAGTCTATAAACACTTTCTTAGTTATCTTGAAAATACCTTTTGGCTGGGGGAAAAAAATGCATCCCTTTTTGTTCAATCTGGGGAAGCTGTGTGGAGAGATGGTTTGGTTAAAGATGTACTTGAATATTGCCATAGAGACTGGTAAGCTGAGAGGAAAAGAAGGNTGGAGCAACTGGGCAAAAGGTTATTTCTGAAACGGAGTGAGGGGTAGTGATCAATGAAATGTAAGATAGAGATATGCACTTGGATACATTTTGGAAAGCAAGATAGCATCATCTGCCCTAAATTTCAGTTATGCAGAATGAACACGCTGTGGAGATCTAATGTACAGCATGGTGATAGCAGTTAATAATACTGTATTGTATTCTTGAAATTTGCTGAGAGTAGATCTTAAGTGTTCTCCCACTCACTTTGTGAGCTGGTGGATATGTTAATTGCCTTGAATGGGGCAATCATTTTACAATTTATACATATAATCGAAACATCAGGCTGTACACCTTACATATATACAATTCTTATCTATTAATTATAACTCATAAGGCAGGGGAGGGAGGGGAAACACATGTGCCCTTGTATTCAGCAAGTTTGCTTCTAGAGATCTGCATTACACACAAGCCATGTAGCACAGATTCAATAGCCAACCTTTATCATGAATACATATAATGGTGAAGGGCTAAACCAATTTACTTTCTGTATTGCTAGTTTGACACAGCCCTGCCCTAAGCCTGGAGTGGTGAGATAGAGATGAAATAGCTTTACCTCAGACACATATTTCAGCTACAGAATTCAAAATGTCACAAAATACAGAGATAGAATATTAATAAACACACACAGACACCAAAAAAGAGACATTCATTTGATGCAAATGAATGGGAAAAGGAAACAGAAAATAGATATAAATATAAAATAATTAAATTATAGAGCCTTATTGTGAAAAACCACTTGATTTCCAATTATTTGTTTCCATTAACGTAATTTTATAGCATCTTTATGGCTTCTATGGATGAGGTAAATAGCAGCAACAGCAGCAGCAAAAATAGGTTATTTCAAAAGTAATACCAGTAAAATGGAAGAAGTGATTGGGTTTTTAAAAATATTGACAGTCATCACAAGGATAAATAGAAAAGAAGCCCAGAACACCTAGTCATTTTATAAGAAAAAATTCTCCTATTGACAGATAAATACCTTAGTAACCACCAGCAAATGGGTTCTCAGCAATTTTCTTCCAAAGAGCTTTCAAGGCATATGTTAGGAAGAGAAAGGATCAAAGGAAAAACGTCAAACTGTCGAGGTAATTCTGTAAAGTTAAAGGTCTTTTGTCAAAATGCAGCTCATTGTTTTAAATAAATGTATTATGGCTTAGAATCCAACATCTTGAACCTAAAATACCTTGTCTGAGTTCATTTAGCCTTCTGATCCAGTCTAGACAGTATTTAGGGGACAGTCTCCCCAGTCATTATCAACCCTTTAATCTTCATCTTTGCCCACCTTTTGGATTAGGGACATATGCTGCTTGTAGGTACTAAACAAAACAATTATGACAGATGCATACTTCACCATGTAGAAATGCACAGTTCATCATAGAAGAAATTTATAAAGACTATGCAAACAACAGAATAAATACTGCACATTGGATATTTCTTTCTCTCTCTCTCTCTCTCTCTCTCTCTCTCTCTCTCTCTCTCTCTCTCTCACACACACACACACACACACACACACACACACAGGCTNAAAAAAAAGTGGTGTGTACACTCTCAATACATACATATCATATTTACTAATAAGTTATATACATTTACTGTGCTAATCTATTACTTATATTTAAAACATCACAAAAATGAAGTTTACAAAGATAAAATTCAAAGTTCTAATGTTTTCTTCCTAAACCATTACATGGGACA